AGTATACACTCGGTGAAGCGGTGAAGGACACAAGGGCGGAGTGGCGGGGAGGGGGACCGAGCTCCAGTAATCCGTTCAGCATCATTTCTACAACTTTGAAGGAAAGCGGTTCTATGTGAATTGACTCTTCGAAAGACCCTAGAATTTCGGCAAATACTCAATGTGACTGAATAGTGAGAAGGTTTTGTAAAACTTTATACAAACGGTTCTCGAAGAAAGGTTAGTAACCGTCATCGGGAATAAAACTAGTAAAGCTGTCTTTCCACGAAAGTCTCATGTTCTCTTAGATCAGTGAAAATTTTATTGTAGTTTTGTATAATATAAGATGTCATTGACTCGTAAGGCAGTTTCGAAACTTACCTGTTCATAATTCCTTTGCGATAGTATCGATTGTTTTTAACGAATCAGTGGCTACCAATTTGTATTTCAGATGACAAAGCGGCTCCCATCACCATATGTAAGATACTTTTGTCATTTATTTATTGATCTGTACTACTACCATAGTTGCAGTTGATTCCATAACTTGTGTTGAGCATCCTTTGTATTACAGTATCCAACGGATTGACACCATTCTGGGAAGATCTAGACAATAATCATACTGACGACTCTATTGTAAAGGATGCAGCTAGACGGATGCTGACGGCAAGTACCATTCAAACAGTCCATTGTCCATAGTGAGATGGAGGAATAATGACTTGATGCCCCCTGTTCAGATTGATTTGAATAGTGACGACGTTGATCCACAAATGTTGAAGGACTTCCAAGAACAGGTGGTGGAGCGAGTTCGCGAAGACCCATTCTATTGTAGCACATCAGCGTGCATGTCGAATAATGGAAAGCCGGTATGTTCTGCATTCTCATTCTGAAGCTACGTACTTGAGTGAAGACATATGAGGCCCGTGATGAGAGCCTTTGATGAGGATCGGCTTGTATACTACCTAGCCTTCAGGAAAGCTGGAAAGGAAAGGTTACGATGGCTGCAGCCGGCTTGACCGAGCTCCTGTTGCATCGATGAAGAGCTCGTTCGGGGGTTGAGCTGTGTGATCTACGCCTAAGGCTCACATGTCGCATCCGTCCAGCACCGTCACGGGAGCTACGGCTTAGTCTGAGTCCGCGTCTATCTCTGGTCCATATGCATTAGAACGATTCTACTAAGGAAGAGATGACTGCCTCATTATCAATGCATCAAACACAAAGTAATCGGACAAAAAAGAATTACTGAAGATGTATACGAATATAAAACCACACTGAATTTATGGAAGGGTATGGTCTCTACTGAAGCTAGCCCATCTTAGACATCCAACCTCCTGCTGTGTCTCGACATCCAGTTCCACCCACATCGGCTGGAAGTCGAATTCCGAGTCGTTCCTTGCGTCGGGGAATTTGCGTTGACTGCGAGTTCATTGGATCGGAACAGAAAATAAGTATGGTAGGGGAGCGGTGTTGTAAGCTGGAACTGTGGGGTCGGAGTCGAATTGGTATGATACAATTGCCGGGAGAAGAACCGCCATCAACAAAACTCACCAAAATTGAGCCGCCCCAGAACTCCAGCGGATGGGCTGGGGTGGTCGCCGTATACGGAACCGGCAACAACATCTGCTAGTATGCGCTGATTTCCGTAGGAACACTTTTGTTGTCGATCCTCATCAGTTACCATTATTATCATCATTAAATGGTGATAGGTGATAAGTAAGCAAAGTTAGTAAGAAGCCTGTACATGGTTAGCGATCTGATAGCAGCCTTACTGGCATGGCAAAAGGTAATCATCCTTGGATTGCTTGTTACTAGCAGTCTGTAAGTAGCAATATTGGAGTCACTATGAGTGTTATAGCTGAAAGCCTCCTAGTTAGTGGAAAACAAAATTTTCAATGATGTACGGTAGAATTCCAGATGGCAATATGGGCACGTCACCTCTACGATGTTTTCTACTTGTATGGATTAGCTTTGAATGACTCACTGAGAATGGATCCCATCGGAGGACTTTCTAACGCCTCTTCCCTCACGGAAGCAATGAAACGAAGTTTTGTAGGTGTGTAATTTACCAGTTTCCACCATTGAATTCAACCGACAGTTGAGAGGAATTGTTAAAGAAGCATAGTCGGGACCAAATCAAAGTGAGTCCGAGAGAGATCCGGATCGAATGAGTCTCAAATCTTCATAGACGATTACTACACGTACATGGTCATCTAACATCAAATTAAGCATGAGAAGGGTGAAGTGCGGTTTTTTGCTATGCCTTTTTTTCTTGCATTGAAATCAAATTCGGTGATCGAAAATCGCAAAATGAACGTAGACTAGAAAAATGGCATAAGGACGGAAATCGGTCTTCACGAAAATATCGTTCGACATCACTTGTTCAATGAGCTAAGTAGTGCAATTTACTGTTATCGGGTGGCAAAATGTATTCAAAATTGAAGAAAGCTGGTTAAGCAAGAGAGAAGAACATAATGGTCCCGACGGTTACCTTCAACAGCTAGTGTACAAGCCCACTTCCCTGGTGTAGGTACTTTTTCCCACCGCGTGGTGTGAGGAGAAAGCTTTGGAATTCCATTGTAAGGATACGGTAGCCGCCGTCAAACGACGGGAACAGGAAAAAGGATCGTCACCTTAACCTCCCTGCTACCTGCTTTTGAACCGCCTACAGTTGTTTTCTGTGGGTCTATGATTACATGTCGTAGAAAGATTCTGAGTCTCCGTGCTAATGAGAGGCAATAGCAATCGAAGAAATTGCCCGTCGTGTATACAGTACAGCTCTAATCTTCGAGCAAATGAAAGCTAAGTTCTACCGCAACAAGAAAACTTTTCCGCAGAGCTTCAATGTCTTAAGGGCTCACTGGACTGGTTACAATCAACGCGAATGGGTCACGCATTCCACTGTTTTCGGCATACGTCCTAGATGCGAATTTTAATCAAGTCACTGCCATCAACTTCACGATAGCCGATGGGATACCAGTATGTTACTCATGATTCCGCTCTACTCAATAGTGTAAGACAAAATGATTGCTGACTATTTAGGTAATGACGAAAGGCTACACAAATGAAGCAACAACTCTTTGGGGAACACGAGGTGGTCAACGGTGAGACTTGCTTCAATCATTATTGCTGAAGCTCACCAAAATTGCATTGCAGTCCACTTGCTCGTCCGAAATGTGGCTACACGGGATCCGATTGTCCCAAGCCATTTTGGGAGCAGAACGGCATATATATAATGGCTGTATCAACACTGATAGTAGTTCTACTGATTGTGGCGGTTGTAATTATTGTTTACGCGATAAGGTGAGGATTTTTCAAGTGTAGGTTCGAGAATTATTATGTTGCTATTTACCATGACGTAAATGACGAACTGTCAATTACTCCCATCTGAGAGCCATATGTATCGGAAGCAAGGAGAGTCTCCCTTGTTCTCTTATCACAGTGCACCAATCCCTTATTGATGTAATGGCTTTATACAGGGAACTCTGATATCACTTTGAATGAGTGGTGAATTCAAATTGCCCTGCAAGAGTTCAACCGCCCATAAACTGCATTGTTTTCAAGCAATATTCTCAACCATGAATTACTTCCGCCTATGTGGAAGCTCAAATTGTGCCATTATTGATTATTAACTTCATAAGCTTTCCAATTTGGTTATATTACTCCCTGACTACGACTGTGTTTGTCGTCATTACGTCCAATAGAAGGATCGTAAGATCGCCTTATTTCTCGGCTTTAGAATTCGGAAGGAAGAGGAGGAGCAGCAGCGCTTATTATGGCAGATCCCTTATGTGAACCTGAGAAAACCGCCAACATCGGTATGAGTTTCAAGATTTCTGTCGTTTTGAATTGTTTTCATAAACCTTCTTCGGCATGCCGTGCCCTTTACTGTAGTGGATCCTTTCATTACTAATGCTGCCATTATTGTGAAGAGAGCGAGTTTTCTGCACATTTTTACACCTTCTACGGTGGGGCTTGCATCTTTGTGTAAGCATTGACTGCATGTGAATTGACTGTAACAGTAATGGCCGTTCTTAATCTTGAGAATGATTTAGGATTAGCTCGAACCAAAGGATTATTGAAGATTCTGTTTCTGAATGATTCCAGTTTCATTTCATATAGCAGATTGGTGTGTTTATATTGGTTGGTATTCAGCACGAGCGTCAGCAGCAGAGCAAGCGTTCACTCCAATCAGGTCCGTCGGTGATGACGGGAGGATCAAGGCTCACAGAATCAAGTTTCGGCTATTTCGAAATCTATTTTCTCAATAATGAGCCTGTTCTGACTAGGAAGTACTCAGCAGCTGGTCTGACAGAGGATAGCAAATATATTTTCCAACAGGTTTGGAACCGTATCGATTTGGATACTGTTACTGAGTCATTCAAGAACTTTGAGTAATGGGTGCTGACAAAAAAACATCAGCATTACATCTGTAAACGAAAGTTTTCACTGAGTTTCAATTCTGGTGCGCAGTAGAATGTGTGGCAAGCGTGGGAGGACTTGATTTGAGTCGAATATTTGTGAATTATCTCCCGTCTTCTATATTCACCATACATGTTTTTCTGATCATTGCTCAGTAATCAGAAGCTCAACCCGAACCATATTCAGATGAGGAAATTGGAACATGATAACATTAATCGATTCATTGGGCTTTCTATTGATGGATCCGAATATGTGGCTGTTTGGCGGATGTGTTCGCGAGGCACTCTGCAGGTTTTTTTTTTCTCAAGGAACAAACAGTGGATACGCATAAATGTTATAAATGCTATATTAAATTTGTGAGAGTTGCAATGGGTACTGTTTTAGGAGCTCATATCCAGAGGTTCACTGTGGTTAGATCCATTCTTCATGTTATGCATAATAAAAGACATCGCAGAGGTATCGCTTTCCAATAGCTATAAAGATCAAAAGTTTAGTTTGCTAGTCTCAGGGTCTCCGATTCCTGCACAATTCAATTATTGGATGTCATGGTCGCTTGTGCTCAAGTTGTTGTTTGGTATCTGACAGCTGGCAAGTCAAGGTATCGGATTACGGTACCGAGTCTCTACAAGAAGACAATCGCTCGAAGAAAAAACGTAAATCTTTTTTCGACGTATGCAGAGTGCTACGAAATTATAAAGGCCCTTATTGTGAAGCGACAATTCGGTTTTCTGTCCCATTCTGTGCTCTGAAAGGATTGACTTGAAACACTATCGTCGTAGGATGGGCGCTTTCAGGGCAGAGTGCCTTTGAGGGAAGAGCGTCGAGCGTCTCGCGGCCGCTTTTGCGTCAACCGATGCTTGGCGCCCGACGCTTGCAGTCGGTATTCTCGCCGCCGCTGAATGCCTTTGCTTTAGGCGGTGGTTTTCCAAGTAGAGCTGCGTAGGGCTCTTCCATAATAATATACTTTCATCATATTGGCCAGAGATGATGAGTGATCAGAGATGAAGAATCGAGTTCATATAACAAAAACTAGCATAAATAATAGAGTAAAAGTGGAAGTGAATACACAACACTGAAAACTCAATCGAGAATATCAGCAGCTTCTTTTTTGAGGTTTACTGTGGCTGGCTCCTGAACATTTGCGCTCCTCCGAAACTTCAGCGAAAATTTCCAAAGAGGGCGATATATACTCATTTGCAATTATCGCCTCCGAGGTCGCAACGCGAAAAGAGGCATGGAACATGAGTGAAAGAAAAGAACAAATTGATGGTAAGGCAGAGACCTGCTTGTGAATTGATTGTCATCTGCATATTAATGCTTCAGAACTGCTTTATATGCTGAAAAAAGGAGGACCTACACCACCCCGACCTGACCTCAACATTGACGGAGAATTTAATGTGGCAGTGGTAAACGTTCTGTTTCTTATCAATACTTGACCTTTGCGTCGTCCAATCCTTAACAGTTGATGATTCTGGATTACTGATATTACAGAAGGATCAAATATTTTGGGGGCGAGTGGCCAACATTTTTAGAGTGGATCCACTACAAACTTATTCAGCTGAGGTGTATTCTTTTAATTCTCGTATTCACCCACTCATTTTCAATGGAGCTTTGCTTTCCGTCTTTGAGGACACAAGATAGACCTAAATTTCTTGTTTACGGCTGATGGTTCTACGGGTAGATTCTGACGCGGTAAGTCGGTGCCGCTGTAGATGGTCATGGAGGCTCCTCGATTTTTTTCCTCACTTATTTAAATGTGAACACTGAGATCATTAGAAGGATCTTCCTCGAAATCTCGTTCCTTTGCTTTAGAATATTAATGTCAAGTTTACAACGACGGAGAGAAAGAAAACGAGGTAATTGATTTACAGCTTCATCTTNTTTGAGGACACAAGATAGACCTAAATTTCTTGTTTACGGCTGATGGTTCTACGGGTAGATTCTGACGCGTAAGTCGGTGCCGCTGTAGATGGTCATGAAGGCTCCTCGATTTTTTTCCTCACTTAATTAAATGTGAACACTGAGATCATTAAAAGGATCTTCCTCGAAATCTCGTTCCTTTGCTTTAGAATATTAAATGTCAAGTTTACAACGACGGAGAGAAAGAAAACGAGGTAATTGATTTACAGCTTCATCTTATACGCGACTGTTGGAACGAAAAGCCAGAGAACCGTCCAACCTCTGAAATTTTATGCAGGATGCTGGAGGTAGGAACACTTCTTCAACAAAAACTAGCACTACAGAATGTAAAACAACATTTGCAAAAGGGTGGCTTGAAAAGATGCTCCATTCAAGTCGATGATGCCGAGCAAAAAAAGCAATTTGATGGATCATATGTTCAATATGTTGGAAGAATACACGACGACACTTGAGTTGGATGTCGAAGAGCAAACAAAACAACTAGTGGAGGAGAAAAAGAAGGCCGATATTCTTCTGGAGAGGATGCTGCCGAGGTAAAAACGTTTCGAGTCAATCTGTTATTTGCTCTCGAGCACCAACTAAAAGCGATGTCAGTATTTCAAAGACAATAAGTTGCAAAAGAATAGATTCAGAGGTGGTAATTGATGTGCCAGAGACGGATGCAACGAAGGGAAATATCTGGAAGTTTGCAAAATGAAACCCCTATAATTGAGGTTGTACTTTATTGGATGTCAAGCCTACGAGATAACGCCAGATTGCTTCCCAAATTCAAGATGGAAGCGCAGCGGCCTGTGTTGTAAAATATCGCAGTGAGCACAACACATTGTTGAATCGGCAACATTGGGTACCGTAACCCTATTCATTTGAAGGCATGTCGGTAAATACTAGAAGGATTGTACTAGGTGGGCCGCAAGCGCATTACATAATTAAATCAGCGAGAAGGACGCACTCTCCTCTTCTTTCATGCTCCCTATCTGCATAACCCGTTTGCTTATGAAGTATTCATAACGTGGTCACATTTGGAATCTACTTTTATAGGAAAATTGCAGGCAAGTGGTGGACCGCTTGAAGTTAGGCAATGCAGTTGAACCAGAGAGTTTCGCCAGCGTCACAGTGTTCTTTTCCGATGTGGTCAAATTTACTCAGTTAGCTGCTAAATGCACGGCTTTTCAAGTAAGGCCTGACATACTTGTTAGTGGCTATAGCTGTTTACGTAAATACTACTTGCCCTCATTACAGACTGTAAACCTTCTCAACGATCTCTACAACGGATTTGATTCACTTGTTGAGGAGCATTCCGTATATAAGGTATTTTATCAACTAGTCTTCGAACTGTCATTCACAGAAGGCATGATCTGATCTTTCACTTTTCCTCGCTGCTCGTCAAGTACTTCATGAGACAGAACCAAGCAAGACGTGCGAAATATGTTCAAAAACTGAATTAGAGAGACATTTCTTGTCCCCTCACCTAAGAAACTGGTAGAGGCAAGATAGCACACGGATTATTTTCTCTTATCGTTTTCGTGCCTCTTAGTTTTTGTTCCCAGTGAAGTAGCCTAGTACAAAGGGGAAGAGAAGTGACTTCCCTAATACATCATACGTCACCGAGGATGATTTCATAGGTGGAATCGATCGGTGACGGATATCTGTGCGTCTCTGGTCTACCTGTGAGAAACGGTTCGGCTCATATAAAGGAGATAGCTGAACTTTCGCTATCGTTCATGAAATTTGTGGATGAGTTCAAATTAGCAGCTCTACCAAAAGAGAAAGTTCAACTTCGAATCGGATTCAATTCAGGTAATTGTTTTAACTGCTTTAAGATTTCAATAGAAATTTCCAAGAAGTCAGAAAGCCCCTTGCACAAGAATAATTCTTGTTGTAGTGGGACTTTGCAAAAGTAGGTAGTTTGTTTGAAATAACTCTCTGCAAATGGAAAATATCTTCGCTGCTACGCGGGTGTATGTATAATTGTATCAACATGCATGAGGCAGGGACCAGACGCACAAAAACTGATTTATATCCCTCGAACTTGGATATTTTCCAAACAAGAATAATGCAGAATAATAGTGGTAACACTACAAATACGTTGTAGTACTGCAAGAGTACAAGACTTCAAGAAAGCTCATGCGTAATGCTACGGTGGAAGGTATTGGTAGATTAGGTGTCAGGTTACTGACATGAACGATGCAAAATATTATATAAGTATGAACAATGTAATGATTAATCTTGAGAGTAGCACTGCAGAAACACAAACGGAGGGCGGAGAAGGATGAGAAAAGAGGGGCATTAGCCGGCTGTCTCGAATATGGTTGATTATCCCATTTCGGCGAAAATCGAATGTCCGCCCATACAACGAGCATCAT